GCAGGTCCCCCCCACGGTGCCACCCACGGGCCCGCTGGCCTCCGCGGGGCCCGTCAGCGCCCGGCACCCTGCAGGGACCCGGAGCAAGGTGGGCTGCTCTGAGCAGCCGCGGGGACGTCCCCAGCGCGAGGAGACGCTGCGCTCACCTGGGACGAGGAGCCAGGTCCAGAGCAGGAGCCCTTCCAGCATCCTGCCCGGCGCCGGGGGCTCCGGCGGTGCTCGCCGGGCCGGCGCTGGGCCAGGCACCCTCCAAGCGCTGCCGAAACCTGCGGCCACCGCCTGCTTCCTGTCCCGCTTTCGTTTCCGCAGGGGGAAAACAACCCGTGTATTTCAGACTGTGCTTCCATGCATGACTGCCAGCTTTGGTGACACTGTCCTTCAGAGACGAACCTGAGGATGACACCAGCAAAGACAGCTCCTTTAGTGCTGCCCGGCCGAGCCCCCGCTACCTGATCTCTTCTCCTGCTGCAATCTCCCATAACCCGGATAAACCAAGAGCATTCCCACATCTCCTGACTTAGCAAAGCCAGTAAATCGATGTTATTGCAGTGGAGGCCTTACCTTGTGCCTTAGGTTGGACTGCTTATCTAGAAAAGGGCTGAAGGGCAGCAGCTGGTTCTTGCAGTGAAACACAGAAAGCAAAATTTAATGGGCTTAGGGGACGGCACTCTGACTTCTCCTGAGTCTGCAGAAATGGGGCACGGCCCAGGTTACGGAGCACATCATGGAGGTTGTGTATGGAGTGGCTAACGGGGTGGCACGGGCGCAGGGAGACGGGAGCCCCTCAGCTAGCGGTGCCTCTTCCAGCCTCACAGACACACAGAGAAGCAATGGAGCCATCAGAGGAGCTGCCTATCAGCAACGGGGCCGGGCAACAAGGCTTGAACTTGCAGGTTCATTTCAGATTGCTCGGGCAGCTTGTGGGTCCTCTCCGCTTTGATCTCGCTGCTCTGCCCTGCTTTCAGCTGTCTGGTGCTTGCCAAGGGCTCTGCTTGGGCCTGGGAGAGGCTAGTGGAGAAAGCGGAACGTGCTGCAGGTGTTGGGCTGCTGGTGCCAGGAAAGCTGCCGCTATCCGGGCTGCTCAGGCTCCCAAGGGGTATGGAGCCCTTGGAGTTGTGCCAGCCTGTGCTGCGCAGAGCTGTGTTCGCTTCCCCCACTGAGTGCCTGCCTTTTGCTAGTGGTCTGCGGGGTCTGGAAAGGCTGCATTACCCTGGAAAATATCATGATGGATTAGGAAAATTATCCTCCTCCTGAGTGCTGTTAAACCTGCAGGGCCAAGAGCATCTCTGATGTACTGCTGGTGCCTGCAGCAGGAAAGACAACTCCGTGGTTATGAGGCTTTCCTTCCTCCT